AAAAAAAAAAAAAAAAAAAAAAAAAAAAAAAAAAACTATACAAACTCAATCGTACATAACAGTTTAATAATCGAATTACTTAATAAGTTTAGGTAACTTCAATCCAAACTACCCGTGAATTCATCACTGGTCTAAAATCCAACTGATTCACAGTCTTAAATCCATGTAATTTCCCGATTAAAAAAACATCAGAATTGACAAAGAGGGAAGAGTAGTATTAACTATTAACACAGTTTATTTTTATTATTATTTAGATTAGCAAAGACATAAAACTTGTAGGCATGTATATCATTGAATGGACCATGAGATTCTCTTCTCCCAGAGTTGTAGGGGCTGATTCCAAAAATAGGCTCCATCTTCTCTCAAACTTCGAAAACATTGAGAAGTACATGTACGATCCGTTTTAGCCCTATAAATTTCAAACTGGTATTCCTTATTTTTTGCATCCATGGTGCACCAAAAAAGAGTGGTACGAAAAATGTTATCTCGGAAGGACCATACTTGCTGCTCTCCAAGTCTAAGAACATGTAGGCCAAGATCATCATCCTTTGATCGACAATGGAGATTAACCGTAACCCCACTATCTATATCATTTTTCACGAGCACAGTTTTCCTTTTACCTATAAGCCCATCCACATAACCATTTTCAACACCATTTTCTTCTTCACTCTGCACAGGGACTATCACCATGTCTGTCATAATCATCAACAATACACTAATTGTGACTAAGACCTTCCACATGTTTGCGATAACAATAAACCAAACTAATAATCTATTTCATAATAGGCACAGTCCTGTGTTCTACAATTGCAACTTTAAAGGCACCCCACCACCAAATAGTCAAACATGTAATTAATTTGTGACATTAGTTTCTGCTGGAATAATGACAATGAATTCTTTTTTTTTAATGTATATATTAATCGCAATTAAGTCAATAACATTAATTCAAACGTTTACCTTTTTTCCTAAGATAGGTATTAAATTTTTTTAATGTGCAACAGGTCAAGAAAACCATGATCAACTTTTAAACCCTTCTTTGTTCACTAAAGTTGATGTAATATATATATATATATATATATA